TAACTTTGAAATGTTCAAACGTTTTCATGCAAAGATATAAGTTCATTTACCAAGCAATAAAAATAATACGTCAGACACTGTTAGTTTCATTTCAGCTGCTAATGCCTACTTTGTCTAAAATGGTCAGGTCAGAACAGATGTGCCAAATGAGAAATACTGTCATATGTGTCTCCAAGCAACAAGGTGTGGACAGTTTCTGACAAATAAAAAAGCAAGACACCAGTGACACGCTTGTGGTGGCAGTGAGTCTCCTCATTGTCATCTGAGGTTCACCTGTCACTAAGTTACACAAACTACCCATTGTATAGCATGGCCGCGTTTATGTAGCTAAGCTACATGCATCACTAACTAACTAACTTGCATGTTATCAGCAGAGCTAAGCTACATAATAGCAGCCACTAGTGAATGGAGATGATGTGGATCGTAACGTTACTGGAACATAGGCCCTGTTCAGACCTGGTATTAACATCCGTCTTGATTGACCTGATCACAAGTGGACTCTGTGTAAAGGTGTGAATGCACCCATGTGAGGACACGTGAGATCTGATCAGTGAGACAACATTCGGAGGTGGCCACATTCTTTTAGCAAAAATTGCAGGACCGCCTACTCAACTGACATCACGTCACAGTCCAATAAGTTGTACCACAATTTCATACTGAGCTGAAAATATTTTACTGTTTCAAAGGACTAAAAACTTATTTCATTCTCGAGCTGCACGCAGTGCAATGATTCTGTGCCGTGCTGTCTCTCTCTCTCCCTCTCTCCCTCTCTCTCTCCCTCTGTCTCTCTCTTTCTCCCTCTCTCTCGCTCCCTCTCTCTCACACAAACACATTGACAATGGATCCGTCTGTCATAGTCAGACTGGTTTAAACACATAAGTGTTTATTTAAATATACAGCGGGGAAATGAGATCCGATCACGAGTAACGTGGTAAAGGCATCTGGAGACGTATGTTAATGCCAGGTCTGAACAGAGCTGACATGTTGGGCCGTTCACTTGTCACCCCTGCTGAGGAAAGACCCTTTCCTGTTGCTAGTCGCTCATCAGTCAATGTAAATCCAGCTCCTAGCAACGTTTAGCATACAACTGCTGTGGGTTCAGATGCGTCAGCATCCTGTAACTACCAGTTGTGGCCGCAGAGGCCACTGTTGCTCAGCAGACGTTACATAGTCTTGCTTTAAACTAAAAAAACATACCCTTACAAAAGTCACTTAAATATCTTTGGATATAGATACTTTTACTTTACATTTGTAGGTTTAAGATGCCATTCCAGGTAAACTGGTGATGTCTTGTATCCAAAGAGGCTGGATGTCCATTAGACACTGTTGAATGAAAAAAAGGGAGGGGAAGTGGGAAACAACTTGCAACTTGCGAGCCGGCTGGGCTCGGACCGCAGACATTGTGGTCCGTTATCGGCACGTTAACCTGTAGGTCACGAGGGTGCTCCAGTTTGTCCAGTTTCAACCGCTTTCTGCAAAGTGTACGTGTGTGTGTGTGTGTGTGTGTGTGTGTGACAGGTGACCAGAGTGTGGACAAAAGAAGGGTCAGTGGCCAAGTGTGGGCTCTTTTCTTCCCCACTTGTTGTCCTCTGCCCAGCACTCTTTCTCTCTCTCTCACACACACACGCACACGCACACGCACACACACACTGACATGCATGCTTACACACATGAACACACTGACACACACATATACATTCAAACAAATCTGTGAGAGGAGAGGAGACGAGCGTATGAATGGACAGATTAATCAGATTATAGCAGAGACACACTTAAACAGCCTGTTCTCTGGATTAGATATGGTCCTGCCTACTCCCTGTCAGAATAAAAAGTATGTGAGAGGACAGAGAGAGGGGTAGAGTAAAAGAGACAATATATTTTCATTATACATTGTATGTCCAACATACATACTTACACTTTGTGTATTTTGGAATTTGTTTACTTTTTATATTGTTTCTCTTTCTGATGTTGTTGTTCGTGTTACCCTATAAAGGGCATCCTCAATCCTGTGTCATATGTGAATATGGTATGATGACTTGAACAAGATGGAAACAAAATGTTCAGTACTATAGTCCCATATCAAATAGAAAAACAAGCCCATGTGAATATGTGACTGATTTAAAATACACTCCCCTAATATTTTACCATGAAGAAGTTTCGATTTCCCCCTCAGAAGTTCAAAGAGTGCTGTTCTTTATGTGCAGCAGGGCAGCATATGGCAGCCAGTGACCAGGGCTTTGTCTGACTATTGACACCAGAGAGATGCAGAGAGGGAGGATGCGAGTGTGTGCGACTGTTCGGGGGCCGGAGGACAGCCTAACAACAACAAAGGACCAGCTTTAAGCCTGTCTCCTGTGATTTTCCAACTCAGCGAAAAGCTATTGTGGCCCTGAAAAAAAGTTAAGTTAAAAAGCTTAGCATGGTATGTGCTAACAACTGCCTGCCGCTTGTGTAATACAAACAAATACTTTTTGAGCAGCCACAGTCGCAGTCTTTGGAAGGGCAACTGTCCCTGTGTCTACAACCGCTGGTCAGGTCACTGCTATGATCTGTTGCTCTGTGAAGTCAGTTGCAGTGTGGAGGGGTTTTCACGTACACATAATGTGTATCAGTATATCAATGAAGAGATGAACTTAAATAAACTTTCTTTTCTTTTCCCCTATTTATTTTTCACACAAACTTCAGACTATGTGGCCATGACCATGGTTTGTGTCTGTGTGTGTATGTGCTCCATGTTGACACTTAATACAGTTTGTCCTCTGTAATTGTTGTACGTTTCTGATCATTTGTCATCTAGTTGTGAGCGTGTGTGTTTATATGAGACTGCGAACCAGATGAGTTCCTTTGATGACTACTTCTACACTCCCAGTGGTCGCTAAATCACACACACACACACACACACACACACACACACGCCACAGACACCACACCACACACCCACAACAAACCAACACAAAGCACAACCACACACACACACACACACACACACACACACACACACACACACACACACACACAAACAGAGTAGTCAGGCAGGGGCAACCGGGACTAAATCCAGACTGGTGGTTTCTCTCTCCAGCTATAAATACCCCTCTGCTTAAAACAAGATCACACACACACATATACACACACACACACACACACACACACACACACACACACACACACACACACCACACACCACACCCACACACACATAAACACACACACACAAGCACTGATACTCATGTAAAGAGGCTAACAAACATATTAAGACACAGACTTGTATAAATACACACATATGCAGCCATGCACATACAGACACACACTCTTACTCCATTTCTCTCTCTCTCTCTCCCACACACACACACACACATACACTCACACACCAATACTCACACACAAAGAGATGGCTCTGGCCTCAGAGGAGGCTAGCTAAGCGGTCTATGATTATGGGGTGTGTCTTTGTCTCATTTAGTGGTTCCACAAGGAGACAGTCTTCTGCTGTGTCAGACGAACTCACACACTCACATACACATGCAAATACCAACACACTATCACTTAGCGACAACAAATCCCTTGGCTTGAATTTGTGAGATTGCCCTTTAGAGGAACTTCACATGTAAAAATGGCTGTATACAAGACTGATCTGTTGCAAATGTTTTGTTTTGCCATCTATGATGCAATCCTCACCCCTAAATAAAGCTAAAGCATTAGTTGTGCACACTAAATATGAACTCCTATTACTGTGAGATGAATCCACAACACAGACCGAGGAAGTTATTTTTCATAATCAGTATATTCTTTCCTTCAGTGCATGTGATCTTAAGAATAAAAAAACATATAAATATAAAATCACTCAACACCAGATGTTCCATATTTCATTCCTCTTTTATTTTGGAAAAATATTGCGCTGTTTTCCAGTAATAAAAATGACAGGCTCTGTACATACGACTCTTCTCTTAAATACAACACAGTCACAGTGGTCTCAAGTGCCTAACACATACATGCATACATACATACTTACATACATACATTATCTGCCAAGTAAAAACAATCCGACTTAAATTATAACAGGTTTAACAAAAACATCACAACAAAATGGAACACAAATAATTACATCATTAAATTAAAAGAATACATCTTTCTTTAGATAACAAATAAAATAAAAACAAATAATCCTAACCAATGGCAGGTAGGGTGATGGTGTCCGTCTATTGGCTAATAGTGGAAGACTGGGAGTGAAGGGAACAGGAGTGGGCAGTGCATACATCTGACACCACACAAAGACATCACCTCTTCTGTACACACACACTCATACACACACACCTCCATAGTGCAATGAGGTCTTGGCAGTTAAGACTAGTCCGTTATAGCTTGGCTCACCTTGAAACACGACAGCATCAGCAGAGGTCGGTACAATTGCACCAAGACAAATTTGTCAATTTTGAGTTGCTGCAACATTGATGCAACATTAATTTCACCTAATCTGGGGATTTTGTTGTAATTGGATAAGCAGCAAATTATGTTTGATACACAACAACAGAAATCAACGATTCATTCATATTGAGCTTCATTCATGTTTTGTCTGATTTGTATCACTTTGTCTCCCTTTCTTTGTCCTCCAATGCTGAAAGTGTTTCCTGAGTTGCCCTGCCCAAAACATTGCCCTGTGTATCACAACCTTCAGGGGTCAGAGGCCAGTATGGCCCAACAGGATCCATGTTGGATCGATCTGCAGTCACTACTGGAGTCTTCAGTTCTCTATTTTCTGCTGAGAACCAGCTCAGCCAACACGGTCTTTGTCAGTGCTGCAGAGTTAAAGATGTATAGCGGTTGTAGAAGTCCCACTGCTTTATCTATCTATTTATTCATTTTTTGTCAGGAAAGCTCCAATTGAGATTTTTTGGATAAATTTTTAGCTGCTGCAGTTCTAACGCACTTCTAACATTGCTACAACTCCACCTTCTACTCTGCAGCACTGCACAGAACAGGAACTGTCCAATATCCATGACACTGCATTGTAAAACCACAGCACATAACAGTACTACAACAGTACTTCAAAAGTTCTCAGTACTCCAAAGGTACTACACTGTTCATTCAATCAGTACTCCACGGTACTACAATATCATCGGTCAACATCGAAGTCAATACTCCACTGTTTATCGGGAGAGAAGAGTTCATCCTGGTACGAGCAGTAAATCATCCAGTACTGCAACAGACATCGAGCAAGCTCTTTATCAGTTCTCCAGCAGTCATCGTTTGACTGCACGAGTACTCGTTCAGCACTGTTTCTGTACAAAATTTGTACAATTGCTAGCACTGTCTTTTGGCACTTCGTCCATAGCACTGAGTCAGTATTAGACCATCATCCAATGAGGATCAAAAATGTCCAGTATTCACCCGTAGCACTACATTAGTACTAAGTCCTCGCCAAGTTGGTACTGACTCTGTGCTGGCTCAGCAGCACCTTGGCTCAAAGTCCTCCGGTAAATCCCAGGGAACAGCAGCAAACAGCAGGAGTAGAACCTCCTGGAGACAAGCTGAGCTCTACTGCTCAGGGCTGGTGTGGGTGGACCGCCCTCAACCAGAGCAAACTGGTCCCCTCTGATCTGGTCTGGACTGGTATCATACCTTTAATACAGGAAGAAAAACATCAGTGTTTAGTGTGTTTTTACACGGTGTTAGTGCTGACGGGAGTTAACATTTATTTTATATTCTTTTCCACGTAGATAAATCTGTTTTTGTTTGCTCACCTCTGTAGCAATGATACATTCATCCTTCTGGTCCGATATGACATAAACGGACTGGTATTTGGTGTCGGTGGTACACTGGTACCGGCTGTCACTAGGACATTGGTATTCAGCATCACTGGTTGACTGGTATTTGACGTCACTTGCTGCCTGATAGTTCAGATCACTGGATGACTGATACTTTGCTTCGCTGCAGCTTGGCGACTCTTCCACATGTTTCTTTTCTGATGCATCACTATGGAACAAAGAATAACACAGATTCAGAAATGCCGTCCTTCAACAACAAATACTACAGCTTCTAGATGCACATATTTCCATTGCATTTACGATAATAATAATAATGTACATGTTAAAACTAGGTTAGTTTAAGGCATGCATGATAGAAAAACTCCAAGCACCGTGTCTATGTCAGTGTATAATTTGACTGTTCTGTACCTGTTTTGTCTCTTCCTGTGTCTTTCCTCTGAGTCGAACTCATCCAGCATTTCACATTTGACCTCTGGCTCATCTTGCTCCTCCTCTTTACACAGCAACAGCTCCTCAGGCCGGAGCTCGTGGACCAGGTTGTACTCCACGCTGGGATAGCGAGTCTTAAAGCCGTTCTTCTCTGATCCGTTGAGCCCGCTGATTCCACTAAGACCGCCCAGCGACCCAGCGAGGTCTGAATGATAATCTGCCTTCTTATTGGTGTTTTTAATTGACATTGTCACTGTAGCGCCCAGTTCCTTGTCAGTGCGGAGACAATTGTTTGTGGTCGTCAGGTTGTTCATGGTCTCGTGGCTGTCACTGTGGACACTGTCACTGTGGTGACTTTGCCGCTGTTGCAGTTTGACCCGAACGTACACCACCAGCACTGAGCAGCCGATCAGGATCACAAGAACAAGGAAGACACCGGCGCACACAGCCGTCCATGGGAATCTGCTTTCGTCATCCTCCTCGTCTTCAACATTTCCATTTCCTGAAGGAGAATATCGCCGATCCGGTCCATCCACAACTGGCTGATGCCCGGGTTTATGTGGTAACAGGAACTGGCAGTTGTGACCACCGTAGCCAGGCACACAAGCGCACATGTAACGGCCGCTGCGCTCATGGCAGGTGGCTCCGTTCTGGCAGGGGTTGTGATAGCAGCGGGAGATGGGGGAGCTGCAGTTTTTGCCGGTATAGCCTGCAGAAGGAGCAGAGTTTTAGAGTCTAGAACGAAACTAAAATAAAATGACATTAAGAAACAAACTATGTAAACATAATCCCACAAGAGAGATCTGTCCAGTGCTGTGATACCTGGAGGGCAGGTACAGGTGTAGCCGTTCACACCCTCCTGACACGTCCCACCGTTCTGACAAGGAAAGGACAGACAGAAACCAGAGATGCTGCTGCTGCTGTCCTCACAGTTAGGACCAGAAAATCCCTCAGGACACTGACAGAGGTAAGAGTTCACCAGATCCACACAATCTGCACCTGCAGAGGGGAATAGGATTGAGAATTGAGTGAGTATTAGTCTCCAAATATTTTACCTGTTGGTTCAGGTGAAGGTAAACGTAAAAACAAATAAGACAACATACCATTTAAACAGGGGTTGGAGGAGCAGTGGTCAATTTTCTTCTCGCAGTTGAAGCCAGCGTATCCCATGGGGCACTGACAGAAGTAGCCACCTTCGGGGTTGTCGACACAGCGTCCGCCATTGAAGCAAGGCCCATCTGCACAGGTATTGGCACTCAACTCACAATTGTTACCGTAGAAACCAGGTGGGCAGGTGCACTTGTAGCCATTGTCATTATCCTATATTGGAAAGAAAGTAAACAGTGGTTATACAGAGGCTTGTTGCTCTGAATCAACTTGCTTTTTTTTTTTTTTTTTAAATCACTACACCACTTCTCTCACACTTCTTCTCTCACTTGGTACTCACAGTGCAGCTGCCTCCGTTACGACAGGGGTTTTCAGAACATTCGTTGACCTGGATCTCACAGCTGGCACCTGTGTATCCAGGTAGACAGGAGCAAGTGTAGCTTCCCTGGCCAGTGTTGGTACAGGTGGCTCCATTAAGGCAGGGCTTATGGTGCGTACAGTAGTTCAGATCTGGAAACATCAAGAATAAACAAAATGTATAAACAACAACAGTTTAACTATGAAACAAAGGGGGGCTGACTGAGTCCCAGCGGGTCCCAGAAAAGTAGTAAATCCGTCAGTAAACTCACCCTGGTTGCAGAAAAGCCCGCCCCATCCCTCCTGGCAGTTACATTGCCAGGGCTGTTGGCAGGTGCCATGGAGGCAGCCCGGGTAACGGATGCAGTCGTCACAGTAACGCCCACTGAAGCCCACACGACACCTGGGAACACAACGTTCATTAAATACTGTTAATAACCAAACAAGGAAAACAATGATCAGAAAAAAAAGGTTTTGTTGAATAAAAATCTTACAATGATCCATTTAAAGCAGTAAAGTTTCTGGACTTACTTGCACTCTCCTGGTTTATCACAGAAGCCATGTTCTTCATCACAGCCAGGAAGACAGATTGCTGCAGAGAGGAAACAAATAGTGACAGGTGAATTATGAGAAATCCAGTGTTGGAAATGTGTTTGCCCTCCATCAGTATCCCATTCACCCATGGCATTTTGAAACTGTTGACTGCTTGCCTGCCTGTCTGGTTGGCGCCTTGACCTTCTTATCTATTTGTCTGCCTTTCAGTCTGCCTGTCTGTCCAGTCTGTTTACCTGCTTACCTGTTGGTCTGCCTGTCTGCCTACAGTCTCTTTCTTTCTCTCCCTCTAGTTTTACCCTGTCAGTTAATAGGCTTAATAAACCTTGTTTTGTGGCTTAAGTCACTTTGGACCAAACCTCGCTGCCAAAACCATGAGGGTAATCTGGGTCATCAGGTCACACCTGACCGCAGGCTGAAATATGGCGGTTTCTTGAATACCGGAAAAGTTGCTGAAAATGTTGCGTCTCAGCTTTAAGAGCCCACAGGGGGCTACGACAGCTTTGGTCACCAAAGGGGGGAACCAGCCAACAAGCCCTCTCCTTTAACATGGTTGCTCTCCAACACAAAAGCGTCCCACACAAAGCCCCCTTTCTCCCCTTGACTATGGGTCAGAAGTCCCTTTTCTCACCCTTGCCCCCCCCTTCCCCTTTCTGATCCACCTCTCCTCCCTTCCTCTTCCATCCACCTATCCCCTCTCTTCTCCTCATCTCTTCTTGCTCTCCTCTTCTGCACTCTCCTTTCCCTCCTCCACTCCTCCCGTCTCTCCTCACTCCCCTCCTCCTTCCCCCAGGGCCAGCTGGTCTGTGTGGAGCTAACCACCAGACAGCTGCTCCATTGTCTCCTCTCACCGAGCAGCTGCCCCCTCCACAACAATACACAACCCCGCTTGGCCAATCACCAGCCCGAGCTGCAACAATACAGGACCCCCACTTGGCCAATCGGGGAGGAGGTTTGGGGCGAGGAGGCCCCAGTGGTCTAATGGAAGGCACGCGGCGTGTGAATTACTGAGGAGCCAGTGCGGCTCATTAGAATGGAGGCCTCTGGTGCTATGGGAGAACTAACTGACGCCTGTTGCACACGGGCCCTGCATTAGGAGGTGGAAAAAGTCCCTAAACAATAACGATAGGCGAGTGACTATTGGGGAAATTAACTTTGAAAAGTAGTTTTAGAAACTTCTTAGATAGATTCTCATCAATATTCATTTTATTGCTCTTTACAGTTTTGACAGTAAAATAATGCTTCTTTTAAAAGCTTGCACTCATCCAGCCTAAACCAAAGCCAATGTAAAGCATGTATTATTATTCCTCATGCATTGAGGAAGTATTGTGGGACCAGACATTCTATGTAAACATCAGCATCTACTACTAATGTCTGTGCTGCTGCTCTTTTAGCTTATGTTTCCCAAAAGCAGCTGCTGGTGAATTCAAATATTGACTAGTGCAATACTCCTAAGGTGGAGCACTGTTTTCTCACTTCCTTTCATTCGCTGTTTATTCCCTTTCCACATGATGCGTAAACCACCTGAAAGATACTGCTGGATTAAAAATCAAACCCACTTACGTTCAGTGCAGTACTGTCCCTTCCAGCCAGAGTTGCATATGATCTCCCCACGCTCGCCACAGGTAAAGTGCCCAAATGCATCGTCTCGTGGCCGACAGAAGACAGAGCAACCGTCGCCGTAGTAGTGCTCATCACATAGGAAGCGATAAGAGTAACGCAGCTCCGTCCTGCCGGCTGTCTGCATGTCCTTGGACCATTCTTCTCCCACAGTGAGGTGACGCTGAGTGGTGATCCTGCTGATCAGATACTCTGGGTTGTCTGCAGAAGTGAGGGGTGCACCTTGTTATTGATCATATGATATTACTGTTAGAGTTGAGTTGAGTTGGGTGCACAGACCACCACTATCAGTTATATTCTCTTTGTTAACAACAAATTTCAGATCTTTGAACATTTTTCTAATGGACAGACATCCACACACACTTTGTATTTATGACCATTAGGCTGCCATACTGCCAAAAATAAAATTGTGAACCGTGCTTTTTCATTTTACAAATAATTGGACTGATTACACAATAAAAACTTTGATTTTCCATTATCTCTAGCACACACACAAACACACACACACAAACACACACACACACACACACACACGCACACGCACACACACACACGCACACACACACGCGCACACACACACACACACACACACGCACACGCACACACACACACGCACACACACACGCGCACACACACACACACACACACACGCACACACACACACACACACACACAACACAACACAATCTCATGCTGCTAGTTAGTCATCATTAGTGCAGTGATAAGAGCAGGACATAAAGATAACAGCAGAAAATATCACACCACAGGGGCCAAATGGCACCTGCACAAACTATAGGTGGCCTTTTCCCTGTGTGATGTTGAAGAAACCTGGTATCATAAAACATAAAGACTGTCTTTGAATTAAGTTACTTATTATCATCATGGCCATCAAGTTGGTCTCCATGAGAAAATCAATGAATTCGCCATTATAGTACAGGTTTTATGCCAAATAGTGGCTGGTTTATTCAACATCTCACAGATGAGACAACACAACAAAGTATTGAGATAATGGCGTCTATTTTCAAAGTTAGATCTATGTGTAGAAACTGAATATAAATGGCTCTTAATTAAAGTGTCAGCAAAATATCTTAGGAGAGAAAAAATAAAGCATTTATCAGACTTGGTGTGTCCTGTTTAGCACTAATGACTGAGCACTAGGTGAAAAAGGTGCCACTGAAAGAACACAAGGCCACTGTTAGCCTTCTGGCCTGTCTTTGAATTACACTGCTGCCTTCTCTGGCTGCCACCCACCTGTTGTCAGGTCGTCCAGGGAGTCAGTGTGCAGAGCTTCAATGATTAGTGAAAACGTCCCCTGAGGAGAGACAGAGAGAGAGAGAGTCAACAGCTGCTTGGCCTGGAGGCCTCCCTCCCTCCGCAGAGAAGCAGAGGGCCATTAAGGCCTCCCAATAAACTTCACAACCTAATTCCCATGTTGATTAGGGGCCTAATAAGGGCTACTACCTGCTCCCTTTTCACACCCCTGCTACTATCACACTCTGACACCGCCGTAAAACCAAACGAGGCGGAATTTCACGCTGCGATGCCAATGATGTGCCAACTCAGAGGATGTTAAATTTCCCACCACGCCTGGTCGGAGGAGAGAAGCGTTTGGTGAAAACACTCCCCCCTCCACGCGCGCGCACACACGCGCGCGCACACACACTCACACACACACACACACACACTCCTCCCCTCCCCGTTTTATCCCACCAAAGAGCACAGAAATACTACAATAGCCCCTCTCACACACTGCTGACAAAGACCCTCACAAGTGTTGAGTTTGGGAGCATCTGTTGCGTTTTCCACTCTTCAAAGCTAACATGTCCCAGTGGAGCAAGACTCTAATAACTTCACAGGCTGCCCATGGTTTTCATAACTCCCTTAAAATGTGACATAAATTTTAGTATATACCCATGACAGAAATATCACACAAAAAACTATAAATTAAATATATAGAGTTTATATCCTAGAGGGATTTTACAGGGAAAGTTCATGACCTTTAAGGCAAAATGCCCAAAAGTACAACATTACAATTTACAGATTATCAATAAGTGGTGCTTTATTGCTGATATCAATGCATTATAATAAATAATATCTATAAGCACTCACTGGCCATGTGAAGCCGAAGGGAAAACGGACTGGGTTGGTGAAGGTGTCCGCATTGGTCTCCGGCACCTGGAAGGAGTTGGAGCCGAGGACGGGAGTCACGGCCCCGCCATAGGTGCAGGGAGGCTCTGGGGAGACGTTGGCCTGGTAATGCTTCAGACAGATCCGAAAGAAAGTCTTGCACTCACACTGCTGGTGGCCCTGCGGATGAGCGGAGCCTCCGGGGCAGCAGTTGCCGTTCCCCGTCACCCCTTTCTTGTTGAGAAACTCCTGCAGCTTCAGCTCAAACACTCCGGAGCACAAAACCTAAAGAGGTCAACACACAAACACAGTCAGTCCGGTGTGTTTGAGACAGGTAACTTCAGGCTGATGTTTGAGTAGAAAATATTTTAAATGTTTTCAACCACAAAATCTATACAGACGAACACAGCGTGCATTTAAATATTATAATTCATCTACATTGGACCTACCTGGCAGGTGAGCAGGGAGAGAGTGACAACCAGGAGCAGAGACAGACGTCCCATTGTGTTGACAGCCCCTTCAACAAGCAGTGAAAGCTCCACAGGTCCGAGTAGCCAGGCTCAAACACTCATGGAGAAAGTTTTTAAAAGCTTTCCGTTAAGTCACAGTCAAGGTAAAGGAGGGAGGATGAGGGGAAACTTTTCCTTTGGTGCGCCTGTCTTCTGCCTCTCTACTTTCCCATATGAGGCACGAGTTTTTGACAGAAAGGGTAAAAGAAAAAAAAGTTTTACAGTGTAAAGTAATCCTCAACAGAAGGATCCTCCTGCAGAAGCGTGAATGAAATCCCCGATGGAAATATAACAGTTAATTCCAATCAGTCGTTGTAGGAGAAAGAGGCAGCTCTCGATGGCCTTGTTTATTTTTCCACTTGATTGATAATGATATGCTGATCCTAAACACAGAAAACAAGTCTCCGTCTCTCTCTGTCTCTCTCGGTATAACAGTGTGTTTGTCTGATGGGTCTCCTGCCCTGCACAGGGTTTTATACCGGGCCAGCAGGCAGAGGGTAATAAGATGCAAATGAGCCTCTGCTCCTCTTCTTCCCCTCCCTCACCACCACCACAAGTCCGCCCCGGGGCCATCACAAAGAAAGGGGAGGGGGAGGAGAGGGGGCGCACACAACTTTTCTAAACCCGCCCCCACTCCTCTCTTTTTCTCTCAAAGGGACAGACCAAATGGCTACTGAGCTGTTAAATGTGCAACAACCCCTTGCTTCCCCTGATGCCTCCCTCCCTCCACAGCACAACACACAGGGGCCCATTTACATTCCGACAAATTCTTTAACCTCTGCACGAAATCCTCCACATCGCTGCATCAAGTGATTTATATGGGCAGCAGCCAGTCCGAGGGTGGCTTCTCATATATGGGGTTATGGTAAAGCCTATGTTTGTCCTGTTCCCTGCACGGCCAGCCGGCCAGCCGGCCGTCCCAACTGCGTTACAACGACCATCTGCTCCGCCGCATTCCTATGGTGTTACCCCTGCCGTGGTTTCCACATGTTCACACCCCCGAAACACGCCGATCTGTTCTCATTACCTTATCTTTATTTCTTGGCTTTATGTCCTACAACTCCTCACCTGTGCAATTTACTGGTGTATCTTACATTATGTGTGAGTATTGTTGGTATACCCTTATCTAGGCTACTGATTTAATGGCAAATAAAAAATGTCAGGCAGGGCATTTGCTTGGTGCTGTTTTCTTGCACTAATAGCGTCCAAATATAACTTACTAAAATCACATTAATGTCAAGAATTAGGTTTACAGTCCATTAACCTTTGCTCCATATATGCAAAATTAAGTTCGTGGCAATCACTTCCCACTCATCACTTTATGGAGCCCAGCTTTGCGTGCTTTAAGGTAAAAATAATCTCTGAAAGAAAATCTAAACCAAGTACGCACACACTGACGAACACACCTAAACCGTTTTCACCGCATGCCTGTGTATTTCCCTTACTTGCTTTTTGGTACAGGCAGTAAAAAAGACTTGGTGGTGTGTCACTCGCGTGGCTGTCATTAAGAGACTTTGTGAGGAGAGGGAGGGGGAAGAGGAGGATGAGGAGGAGGAGGAGGGGAGGCATAGAGGGAGTAAAGTTTTTTTTCTTTGTGCTTTCAGCTGTATGGTAATTGGGCCGGCAGCACCTGCTCTCCCACAATAATACATCACCAGAGAGAGAGAGAGAGCGAGAGAGAGAGAGGAGAACCGAGAGAGGAGAGAGACATGATGAGAGTGAGAAGAGAAGGAGCCAGAGAGAGAGAGAGCACGGCCAGTTGCATAAACAATTGTTTTACAATATGTTTGATAATAAAATATCACATGTAGCCTACTGCATAGCCTACAATCAAGAGAGATAAAATATTATATACGACAATGGGATTATAACAGAGTCCGCACATGGACCCACTGTCCAATTTACATAACTTTGTTCATCAGCAGGAAAATGTGGGGAAGAATTCGCACTTGTTGGCATGATGGTATTACTATGTGCTTATCTCTGACTGTGAAGCAGCTGAAGATGTTGGTGTACCACTTTTCATTAAACTTAAAAAGATAAGCAAATCCCCCATTATGCTCTGCTATTCTGTGATCATATGGAGTCATTAATGCCTTATATTTATAAGGCAAGGAGAATTGCAATTCACTGTATATTAAACTCTAATTATTCATATATTTAAGTAACAAAAGGTGGAATCATCTATCTATCTATCTATCTATCTATCTATCTATCTATCTATCTATCTGTTCACAAAAAGGAAATGAAAGGCTGGGAAGGAAGTTGATGATTGGACAGAACTGTCAGCTGACTGGGTTTTGGCGTCCCACTTGTCACTCAACTCAACATTCACAACACACCATCACAACAATGATCCAGGAAGGGCCTCTTTATCTGACTGATTTCTTTATTAATTTCATGGAGCAGGTAGTGAAGCCTCACTGAGCCTTACTGCACAGATGTCTAATGTTTACAAACACATGAGCATTGTTGGGTGTGTGTGTGTGTGTGTGTGTGTGTGTGTTTTGTGTGTGTGTGTGTGTGTGTGTGCGTGTGAGTGTGTGTGTGTGTGGGTGTGTGTGGGTGTGTGTGTGTGTGGGTGTGTGTGTGTGTGATTGTGAGTGTGTGTGTGTGTGTGTGTGTGTGTGTGTGTGTATGTGAAGGGGGGTGGGGGGGTGGTACAACATCTATTTTGATCTGCTGCTGCTGTCACCAAGACACAAGGCCTTCATTCACACTCCACAACTAGCCTATCACATATGGACAAGGACCAGTCCATCGTCATGTCAACACACACACTGCTGATGCATTCGAGAGCTGGTCATGTCCTTTCATTGCATAGGTTTGATGTCCCTGCTTGGCTATAATTCCCTCTGGGTCAGTGTATAGATAAATGAGAGGCCTATGTCTAATGTGGTTGTGTGTCCATGATATGCTCTTTACACCCCTTGAGGCTGATTGAAGGGCCTTTAACCTTAAGCTTTAACACTATTATCCTTGCCTGCCACAGTCTTTCCAGATACCCGTATGTGTGTTTAGCTATAGGACGCTGCTCTGAGCTGCTCATTTTATTTAACCAGTTGATTTCAGCCCCCATCTCAATAGCCTACAATGCTCCTATGTGGCGTGGCGTAAAATCCCTCTCTTGAAGCCTTTTATTTACACTCATCCCGACTTTCAGAGGTCCCCGGTGCTCTTTCTCTCCCTCCCTGTATTAGGCCAATATACTATCAGTCATTCATCACCATGACGTGGCACACATTTTCCGATTACGCCAGCAAACCGTGACTGAAAGGCATGGGTAGATGGAAAGTGAACCCCCCCACTTCACCAACATCAAGACGACATTTTCCCCTAAAACATAATTTATGCCAGATTTTCTAATTGTGTCTTAAGGAAACTGCACGAACTCCTCCCTTCTGATCCCTCTTTGTGTGTCTGTGTGTGTGTGTGTGTGTGTTTGTGTGCACGTGTGTGTGTATGAGGTTAAAAAAATTGTTTAACTGGAGGTCGATTGTTTAACTGAAGTGCTTTCCTATTGTCTATGCGTGTATGTGTAACTGCGTGTGCGCGCGTGTGTGGGTCTGTGTGTGTGTGTGTGTGTGTGTGTGTGTGTGTGTGTGTGTGTGTGTGTATGTGACCAGGAGCTCTGTGACACGCAGGGGGACAACAAAGGAAGAGGTCTCGCGCCCCGCCGCCCATTCATCCCTTTCTCTCGCGAAGTAATTCCCATTGATTCTTATTGAACGGCGAGTCGCGAGCCCCTCGGGGGAGAGCCGTGTGATTTGTGAAGGGTCGCGAGGACAAGACACGCCCCTCCCCGAGCCCCGGCCATCTGCTCACCAAACACCACAGCACCAACCAACTAACAAATGGCTTCCCTCACCTCTATCTGTCTATAAATTATCTTCATTTCTTCTATTGTATCCCGTTCTTCTCCTTCCTAACTCTGTCAACCTCTTCCTCCTGTCCCTCTACCATCTCTCCACCTCTAACTCCTTCATTTCTCTCTCCATCCTCTGATTTACAGGCCAAATGCCTCTGTAGGTGAAGCTACTAGTGGGTCTTTGGGCCAAATCACAGTGGAGGCATGCAATGGGTATGAGATGGCCATATGGTCTGTGTGTGTGTGTGTGTGTGTGTGTGTGTGTGTGTGTGTGTGTGTGTGTGTGTGTGTGTGTGTGTGTGTGTGTGCCAAGAAATGGATGGATGGCCGTCGTGGGAACCTCCACATCATCACCATCACACCAAACACACACACTGTTGCACATAGCATGGCAGCCTTTGGTCTGGTCAGTTATAGAAAATTTGCAGGCACTCTGGATCATTCAATTTGAGCCAGAACAAATGTAACTCGCTCTATGCCGAGTTCCCACATGCACGACAATGATACTGGCTTTAATTAAAACCAGAGCTGACTGACATTTAATTTGAACCTGGGTTGAAAGGCTTTAAAAACAACTGAACAGAGACTAATATTCAATTAGACAAATTACACATTTGTTCCATCACACTGTCTAGATAGATGGATAGATGATAGATAGATAGGTGCTCTTTCCTGTGCTGATTATAATGATAATGGGAGAGTCGTGTGGCTTGTGGCTTGATGGATAAGACTCCCTCAGCAACAACAACACTGACGTCAGAAACACGAGACTCTAGTGGCCCCTCCCTATCTGAGCCACAAAGACCTGAGGCCACTACCTACGGTCCCAGTCAGGAATGTAGCAACTTACAACACCTGTTAGACTCAATGTGCGACACAAACTTAAATTACAGCTGTGGTACATATATGATATTGTGACAGCCTAGTTTGTGTTCTTGGCTGCCCTTTAGAGTTTTATGAAAGGTAGTAAGTCCATTTAAATATGTATGTAGTCTGTATTAACATGGGATATTTTGAGTCTATTCAATATTTCGCATCACATGTTCTGTTTGTTTGACATCTACTTGTTCCACTGTTCAGTCCCATATTGTGTAAAGCAAAAGAACAAACAAAAAACGATTAGGTGATCGACAGAATATTTTGATAATCAGTTAATCATTTAGGCCATTTTTTCAAGCTAAATGGACATACATTACTTAGTTCTAGCATTTCTGCCTTTGTCTTTTGTGATAATGAATACAAACTGAAGATTTTTGCATGTCGGTTGGACTATAAAAAGCTATTTGAAGATATCACCTTGTGCTTTAGGAAATGATAACTGGCAGTTTCACCATTTTCTGACAATGAAACAAGAACATAATCAGAGGATTGTTTAATAACAAAAATAGTCTTCAGTTACAGCTCTAATATTAAGTGAAATGTTAAAATTCCAGTTTGATGGCTGCACAATTACATCTAATGAAAACTTATATATTTATTGTATATTTGGTGTTTTTGATTAAGATGTAATCTAAATTCTTTGGGTTTAAGCAGTTTACAGTAATAAATCTACTTTTGATAAATTCCCACATGACATTTGTATTTACATTTTGCTCCACCATGGCATTTAAAGTTTGATTTGGGCTTAAAACAAGCAAAAGGGCAAGCAGACAAACAAAAACCTCTGCATTTTGAACAAATCGCACACTCCCAGCTCCCCAAGCTCCCTGCCCTGTGGCCTCCAGGGGTCCTTGGCCTTTAGTTCGAGAACCAGTGGCCTCCAGCAGCAGGATTAGCCAGACCAGCTGCCCAGAGAGACCCTGGGCCCTGGACGCTGACACCAGGCCTGACCCCAGGGTGGCTACTATCAGGGACACTGAGGGGATCTGGGCAGCATTTGGTGTGTATATGTGTGTATGTGTGTGCGTTGTTCATTCAGTTGGACAACTGTTGAGCCAGTACAGATTTGGGCAGCGGTGCTCTTTGTGTGTGTGTGTGCGTGCTTGTATGGTCAATTCTTTCCGGGGGTTAACTGCTGATCCAGTACAAATGGGAGGTGTTGGGGGGTAGGGCTGAGGGCAGTCGTGTGCTCCTGGAACATCTGCCTCTGTTTCTCCTGAGTCAAGCTTTGGTCAGGAGCGGGGAGGAGAGGGAGGCAACATGGGGGAGGAACTCAAAGAGGAGGAGATTTGAAGAGAAGAAGGACGAGTCAGTGTAGGAGGAGGAGGAAGTTGAAAAGATCCAAAGTGAATAGGCAACAGACCCAAACACTGACTGCTGAAAATGGGATGCAGGATTATGTAAGTCCTGTCTCAGGGCTGGTTATTGTGTTCACATATTGAGGATATACTGTATGTACAGGCATGAAGGTATTGCATAGGTGTGCACATCCAGGTTTTTGTGGATTGTGTGAATGCTTTTCATGTGTTTTTCAAGTCAAATAATCGATTAGTCCATTAATAATCTTCAAAAAATTTGATAATTGGTTAATTGTTTTAAAGAAAGTTTTGTTAAAACATTGCAAAATCCATGGGTTACAGCTTCTCAGATGTGAATATTTTCCTTTTTCTTTGCTCTTCTATGGTAGTAAACTGTGGGCTTTGGACCACTGGTTAATTCAAACAAGATATATGAAGACGCACATAGACCTTGGACTCATTTTACAGACCTAATGATTGATATAAAAAATGAAATAATTCATACATTAATTGATTATGAAAGTAACTGTTATTACAGCCTAAATTCAATCCTTGAAGCTGATTCAAAAGTTATCTCACATCCTCAGTAACCCTTTTTGTCAAACAATGTCACTCCTGGAAGAAACTCCCTGCACTTTATATCAGACTAAACCATTTTTAGTAGAATTCACAGTGGATGAGAAGATCATATTGCTCAGCTAAATTATCCATCAAACACTGACTAAATCTGGTGACAGATCATTCCATTTAGAAAAGAAATACTCAGAGCGGTCTGACAGGACAACTTCAAACTGTTCAAAGACAGCAAGCTACTTGGGAGCTAATTCACAATCATAATCAGCAACCTTGAATTTGAAACATGACTGTATAACACCAAACAATCTCTGCGCATTATAACACAATGTTTGTGTGTATGTGCCTGTGTTATCTTAAAAAGGTAATTCAGTCTGATTATCACGCCAGTAATGCAGATCTAGTTGGAAGAAGAATGGGTAGAGCAGCTGCTGATTCAACATCTGGACAAGTCCATGGTCCATTTTTTCACCAAATCATTCTCAGGATAAGAGCTAAAGTCATTGCAGCCATTGGTACTTTTGGGAAAGGGCCCTGAAATTCTGAGTTTGTGGTTTTCATGGATCCAGTGGTCATAACTTTTCACTGCAATCATGGGGGGCAGATTTACAACTCCTCCTGTCTTGAAGATCAGTTGACTGGAAGGGATGGATTGTCCTCCCAGTCCACAGAGCATCTGGCTGAGGAACGACAGATGCTGACAGCTGGACTGACAGCCAGCATATGTCCCTTTTCTTTATTCCTGCTCTGCTCAGACAATAGAACTGAAGGGATGGGGGTGCTTTGTGTTAAGAAGGTATAGACCTAATAGCTTGTGACTCCAGAGAAGAGCCCCCATTCTCCAGGAGAGCCTGGAGAGCAATTAGCCTGTGTCTGATCCTAGCCTGAAGAGTGATTATGGGAGGACTGAGTCCACAGAAACTTCAATTGTCCATTCTCATTCATGCCACATTAGGGTGTTTATTTTTTAGTTACAGCAGAATCAGTACAATGATGACCTGAATTAAGGCTATATTTTATTTTTGGTTCTGCATAATCTGTATTAATCACCAGTGGTGGAAACTGTACTGTAGCCCTATATACAGTTTTGAGGTATTTGTACTTTACTTTAGTATTTTCATTTCATGCTACTTCTATTCTATTTCATTTCAGATGGAAATTTTGTACTTTTCACTGGACAATGTTTATCTGACAGCTGTAATTACTGGTTACTCTTCAAATTAAGATTGTACAAAAGAAAAAAAATACATCAAACAAATGATAAAGTGATAAAATATGGACCCATTGTCATGCTTCAGATGTCTGGCCTATAAAACTGTCTGTAGTTCCACCAAAGACACATTTCCCCTTTAAACTTCTCACACAGTTTCATTTAATGAGTATGAGGTCCAAGGAGGTAAAAAATCCAATATTTCATGAAATACAGAGAAAATATTATTAAAATTATGTTTAAAAAGAATAAAAAAATGTGTGAAGCAGAACGTTTTTCACAACCCTCACAGATTTATCTTGTGAATTGTTGAACTAAACGACATGTATGTAAAGTAGTTAAACGTATGTGTGCTATAACTTTAGTGCACTCCTGAATGCAGGACTCTGCTTGTAATGGACTACATATATAGTTGTATCCATAGTTTTATTGAAATAAATGTTTGTGTACTTCTACCGACACTCTTAATTACAGATAGCTCACTCCATGCGCCGAGCACGTGTGCTTTGTTTTGCAACGTGATGACGCCATGCGTAGATCATAGGAAGTAATTTGCATTTCCACCTAGTCAACATAACACAGTAAGTGCTGCCCATACGTCAAGATTTTAAAGTAAGTTTTTGCTATTTAAAGCGGGTAGAGGTATAGAGGGTATAGTAGGAGGTAGAGGTATTTGCAGACATAATTTAGTATAAGAAGAGTTGGTTTGTAAGGACAGGAAACGGGGCTGCTTCGGAAACGATTAGCTTATCGGCTGGAAGCTAAGCTAACTGTTAGCATTCAGATCCATTCTCATTGAGCACTGACTGAAAAACCTGGTGAGATGCAGCAATGTGTTTGTCCTGCAGCGATGTGAGGTCGAAACAGGCTCACCCATTACAATACAAGATGCTATAAACACGTGAAATTGAAGTGGTAGTCCAATAAACTGGCATAATGTATTGCCCTGACTAAGTTGGCTCTCAAGTTTCCGGTGAAGCCACTTTCACTCTGTCCTTCTGTTTCTTCTCTGTAGGGATGGGTGTGAAAGGTCTTCAGTCCTTCATGGACTACTGCTGTCCGGAAGTCTGTGTGACTGTGAACCTGAGAGACATGGCCACGCAACATGTTGCCAGAAGCACAACCACAGCAAACTGCACAGGTAGAGTGACAGATGATGTAGGAGTACCCCTGGGCTCCAGCTTCATTTTGGTTTGTTTCTGTCAATTTTTTATGCATGCATTTTTGTCTTTAACACTTTTTAAAGTTTCCACACATCACATCCATGGTGTCCTTTTTTTCTGCACAAACCTAGAAGTTTGACTTCTCACTTTAAGTTTAACAAAGTATAGTACGGTGACCCTGAGAGCTCAATGCACTACAACTTAAGAAAACATATGCAAATAGACAAAACACAAACATATTCAGAGAACATCTTCATCATTTTGACAACACATGTGCTGCAAATACTCTCAACGCAATGGAAGTGTTTCCAGCAGACACAAAGATGTGATGAAGGGAATGAATGGATGTTCTGTTTAAAAAAAAAACTAAAGACCACCACTACTGTATACATCTGTCCACAGTAGCTGTTTCAGGTCATGTCATAATAACAGCAACATAAGTGGTAGCAACCATACACCCACTTACATTATTCCCAAGACTACTGTTACTCTTAAACAAAAATGTATTGGCATTAGATTGTAATAAATGTGAAACTAGCATACCTATTTAAACATGATATTTTTGGATAATGCAATCAGTGAGAAAACACATGTGACTATGGTATATATATATACATATATATACAGTGATGTTAGTTGTTTGAAAGATGAGAGTGATTCTTAAAAAGTATTACTGGCAGCTCTGAGGGAAAAATAATGTTTTGATGATCTAAAGGCTGGTAGCTTTGAAAACCAAAAGACCTGAAACCATGAAATGGGACATTTCTTTCCTATTGTTAGGGATGAGTGTTGACCCGCAGGTCCGCTCTCTGTTACATTTATGTTTTCACTCTTTGTGTAGGTCCCACACTTGTTGTAGATGGTATGGCCTGTCTGCGTCACTGGTACTCATGTAAGGACTGGGTGTGTGGGGGGCAGTGGAAGGAGTACATGGGCGTCCTGAAGAACTGGGTGGAGGAATTTACCTCCGCAGGCATCAGACTGGTCTTCTTCTTTGATGGAGTGGTGGAAGAGCAGAAGAGACAAGAGTGGGTGAGGAAAGAAACACTGTAAACCTGAGGTGTTTGAATATTTTCACCTGTTAAAAGACTCAATCCACTTTTGTCTTGAGTTACAGAATTCATCGACAGATGCATGATGTGTTACGCGTCTCATATTGAGATCTGAAGTTTACTCAGTTGATCTTGTAGGTTTAGACACTCTCAACCTCCTGTGTACAAACATCCTCTCCTGTCTGCAGGTGAAGAGGAGACGCAGAGTGAACAGGGAAATTTCAAAAATATTTTGTCACGTGAAGGCACATGGAGAGCAGCCTGGTAGAGAGCTCTTTTGTCTACCTTCTGGTCTGGCAACATTCACACCCTTTGCTCTCAGGTTAGCATTTATAAAAATGATTACGATTCTGTAGTCCTGTGGATATTATGCAGTATATACAGTGATAATTAAGTTAATAATGTATTTGAAAGACTTAATTTCATTACATGAAATTGGATCTGATGAGGGTTATTGTTCCTGCTGTTTATGGCAGAATTACCATTAATTATTATTTTCTTGATATAGATTGTATTATTGTTTGCAGATCATTGGGTCAGGAAGTGTTTTGCTCAGTGAGAGAGGCTGACTATGAGATTGCCAGCTATGCTCGTCAGCATGGCAGCATGGGCATTCTGGGACAAGACTCAGACTTCATCATATATGACAGGTTTGCTGAAATTATAATATTTCTAAGTAAATGCAACAACAAAGAGTCTCCCTATTTCTGTATCACTGTATTAGAGCCCAGGTTCTATGAGACTGGTCATGTTCAAAACATATTGAACATGACCAGTTAATGTGGTTGGAATTAAAGTAGCAAGTAAAAATACTTGCTGCAGAATGCTTTGTACTAAATATGAGTCACAGCTAAAATGCTGAATTTGATGATAGATTTGTACAGTCTAGCACTTTATGTTATTGATAAGTCATTGTCTGATCTGAATGTGTGTGTGTTTTTTTTAAAGTGTTCCCTACTTGTCAGTGGCAAAGCTACAGATAAACAGCCTCACCACTGTCCTGTATGACCAACAGAGGTTCTGCCGAGCCACTGGATTGGCTGTTTCCCAGCTACCATTGCTGGCGTGTCTCCTAGGTAACGATGTGGTGTCAGAGGAGCAGATGCAACACATCAGGAATAATGCCATGGCAAGATACAGGTGTCCGGGCTTTTACTTTGGTGTTTGCTCTCCATCAATAATTCCTCTAATTCATGAATATTGAATTTTTCAATTTTCATTCTTATCTTCTTCCAAATAAATACCACTTATTGAGTATGTTTACTAACATGAATACTTAGTTGTTGAATGTTGCATGAAATTATTTTGCATTCCAGGCTTACTTCAAACAAGGATTTTTTTTGTAGTCTTTCAGTTTGTGATAGTTATATATAATTAGAAAACATGTCTGCAGAGAAAAAAACCTTCATCTTGTTTGGGCGTTTGACAGTGAGCCAACTTAATTAAAGTTCAGATGAGGACATTACATGACAATCCTGTTTTATTGTTCCCCAGGAAAAACAATCCAGCACCACACTCTGGTCCTCCTCGGGGACAGATGGTCTCAGCTGTATCCCAGCTTGTGAGCTCTTTGTGGGGCAGACAAGCAGAAGATACTGAGCATATCCTTCAGTCTCTGAATCTATCAGCGCCTCACAGAGAGCTACTCAAAAGGGGGATCTGCTCCTACTCACTACCTGGACAGGAAGCTCCTCAGCAAGGTGACATCTCTGCACATCTCCCCGACTCTGCCTTTGAGAAATATGTCAGTCCAGAAATATTAAAGGTATATTATGTTTCAGATACATACACAGTGTGTGTCCTGTAGGACTCTATTAAATTCTGAGAGTACTGAATGCCAGACTGACTAAATATTGTCCACCATGTGGCTTTCTCCAGGCATGCAGAGAGAAGCATGTCGCAGCAGAGGGTTTCATGGTTTACAGTGTTGTGTGTGAGGGAGTCATTGAATGTAGCAACACTTTGGAGGATGAAGAGGATGCTGAACTGCTGCCTCAGGCCCTTGTCTACAAACTCTGCAGACAGCACATCTATGGACTGCTGCTCGGGCGTGATGGTAGGACAGCAAACTTACTGGAGTGATCATGTGCATATACACAAAGCCAGACATACATGCACATTTAAGGTCATAACACACACACATACGCAGATACAGATGTACTCTGGTAACACCATTCACACAGTCAGAAAACAAAAAAGACATACACAAACTTGCAAAGGAGAGGTCATAGTAAGTCTAACATGCAGACTGTGCACATCCACATGGAAAAACAGTACACACACCCCACTAGAAATACATGCTCTGCAGTGGAGTTTGTGCTTTTACTCTGTGGTGTCATGTGTATACTGTAGTTTAAAAATAAAGACAAAAGTGTTTTTTATCTTCCCAAGTGGTGTGAAGTCAGTCCAAGTCTTACTTTGACTTTTGTTTTGTTTTCAGGCAGCACTGTTGACACTCCAGCGATTAGGGAATGGTTTGTGTACCCTGGAAACCCTCTGAAGGAACCTGACATGGTCCAGCCTCTCCCCCTCAGCCTACCATGTACCGTACCTGCTAGTTTCTCAATATCTTTCTGTCTGTGCTCAAGTTAGGACAAAATCTTAGTTCATAGTTCGTAGTTGATTTTTTTGCACTGGGAGGATGATCCACTTTAGTTTACAATGCTCAAGAAACAAACAAGCAACAAAATGCGTAATGTGGTTATAAAATTGTTTCCAGTTTTTTCCTATGTGATCAAACTAGCAGTTGTCCTCTTGCCTCTTAGGCATCAGTGGCTATTATAATGACCCTGAAAAGATGCTTTTTGTTGGCTAATAGATTGACATCAAACTTAATGCACTTAATACTTTAAAGTCTCAATTCATGCAGTCTTTTGCCAACAACACCCACAGAGCTTTTTCTCTAATTATTATTTTTATTTTTTTACATTTGCAGGTGATCGTCCCAGTCTGAACTTGTTGTGGTTCGGCACTGGTCCTAATGTTTCTGCCCTTCGTCTGACATCCTTCCTTACAATTTTTGACTGTCAGGAGTTCTCTGAGTTATGTGGAGCTATTGAAGCCTCTCTCCTGGTTGCCCTCTGCCTGGTCACTTACATAGTCCTGCAGGTAATGTCTCACCTTTTTCTTCTATGTTTTCAGTGGGTAAAGACAACACAGCAAGAAGAAAGACGGAAGCCAAATTAAAATCAGTGTTGAGCAGGGTATTTTTTCATCATTAGTGATGGGTGCTTTGAAAATGATGACGTCTGCACTGTGATTGATATGTCTCTTTTGGTTTTCATTGGTGTGGGCTGCATGTTTGGCTTAGCCTTCAATGAACAAGTTAAGCTGTTTAATGAAGCAGTTGAGTACAATAGAATTCAGTTTGTATTTAGGCATTTCATTCAAGATAGTGGCAGTAATTGGTTAATACAGCTACACCTGGTGATTTATGTAAACAGAAAATGAAAGACCAAATGTATTTGGTGACAAGTAAACATACAAGACAGCTTTTGATTTGGGATTTACGTCTATAACATATACAACAATTATTTTGCTCTTTTGTCAAGTTGTGATGTGAAGTTAAACACAACTTGTTGACAGTCTGTTTTGTGTTGTTTTGTGATGACTTGATGGTAGCCATTATCACCCACTGAGGGCCCAGTTTAGCCACAGACACTGGTCTTTGTAACTTAAGCTCTTATGTCAGCAAGAGGTCTGATAAGCACCCAAGGGCTTTAAATATTTCAAGAGAAATCTTAATTCACCCCAGTTCTCTTCTGTTCTTATTTTGGTTGTAAATTTTAAACTATAAACATATGTGCTGTTTGTAATCCTGTTGTAATGCCTTGTTTTCGAATTTGAATTGATGATCGCTTTTCAAAGTATGTGAAAGAAGCAGAGATTTATGTTTTTTGTTTGTACTTTTTGCATTGACGTCATCTGATGGCGCTTAAACACAACAGAGATCACAGGACCAGATCACCTGGATGAGGATACATGCGTCATTTTACAGGAGATAAACACAAATTATTGTAGATTCATTAATCAACTCTGTAACAAATGAAATGTCAAGAGGTCATAATTAATTCTTTAATGACTCCCTAACAAACGACGTTCTGTTTTCAAAGAAATTCATCTCAAATATTTTGATAAGTTTTCAAAATATGCTTATGAAAAAGAGTAAAATGTTTTCTTGCATTGAATCATCACACTTGATAAGTCATCTAAATTTAGCCCTGCAGATGAACAGTTTGGTATGAAGGAACTGTGCTGTTTAATTTCAAGTTAAATTTGAACTCCAAAGCATAAAGGAAAAGCAAGAAGCCAGAGACAAACACAGGATCAGTGACGTTTTAACAAACTAGCTAATTAGGCTTCAGCAAATTAGGGTTTACAAGATAATTTTACCAATGGCACTCTATTGAGACAGAGTCGAACACTTGAGACACAAAGATCAGCACACAGCTTTGCAGGCAGATACAGATTTTAGTCAGAAAGACAGACGGATACTTGGATCCAGTCATTTAAATGGATGAAGGACCAACAGACAGTCAGAGGAGCAGCTTGTTATATGGACCGTTAGACGAGTAGACAATCAAAGCTGGGACAGACAACAGTAGCTGTTGTTGTCTGATTACTGCTGCATTCACATTCCCCCGTCGCTCTTCTGTTTAAATAGCTTCAGGGTTTGTTTGTTTTGAACACACAACTGGGCAGCCTTGTTTCTGTATTCAGCATTGTTTCTTTCTCTGTTGAATTGTTGCATAGAGAGCAGACAAAACAAACTGACCCACGCAGAAGACACACTGGGATGTGATTGAATTGACTAACCATATATTTTCTGTGGTGTGGATGTGTGTACGTGTGTATGTGCGTGTATGTGCGTGTATGTGTGTATGTTATCAGGTGCAGACTTTGTCTCAAGAGGACGTGGATGCTTACCTGAGTCAGAGTGTCTGCCTGAGCATAAAATCCCCTCAGCAGCTTCAGCAGATTAAGGTCAGTTACAAGCAAAAATACGCAAATTTTTTATTTTTAGTTATTTTCATAGAAAAAAATAAATAAAATGACCCGCTCAGTTTTCAGATTTTTACCCAAATGTTGTGTCTCAATGCAGCCAAACATGTTGTGTTGTGTTGTGTTTCCTGCTGCAAGAAGACAATGTTCCCTGCAGTTTACAGTAAACAAAGTCCTCTTGTGGCAAACACTGGTCAGAAAATGTTTCCAGTAATAGAAAGTCAAAACAAAAAAATTAGGAGAAAATACAAACACCCTGCTGATTGAGAGTCTTTACAAAAAAATAAACAAACTAACAAAACCCAAAACAATGATGGTAAACTACAGTGTGGTTGTTTCGTAAATGGTAAATTTGCATTTTTTAAATCAGATTTTCACCTTCAGCTTCTTAAAAGTTCAAAATAACAATGGAGAGGTTTCCAGATTTTTTATTCCTTTGTGTAGTTTTTGAAGAATTAAAGCCAAATTAATTAGAATATGAATGACCTTTATACATATTTGTGAACAGACACAACCTTAGAGTGAAGCCAATTAAAAACCATTCAAAGTTTTTCACTCCAGATTATGGTGTAATATGAGAATATTACAAAGCAAAAATATGAGAGTCAAACAATGAGAAATTGTCATTCAGAAAAATAGGGCTGCAACAAATGAATATGTTTGTTCTATAAAACATACGAAACAGAAAAAAGATACAATATACAGTAGCAGTTTCCTTTAGTCAAGGGTGATGCTGCGAAATGTCTTGCTTTGTGCCAACAACTGTACAAAACCCCAAAATATTTAGTTCACTATAATGTGAAGTCAAGCCATAAAATTTGTGGCATTTTTATTTGGAATATGACGTGATGGTTAATCGATCAGCTGATTCATTCTCTCTCGTTCGACAAATTATTGCTGCCCTAGAACCAAATTGGATTTATATCTTCTAAGAAAAGCTTCAGTATGATCACTTTGTTACTGCACGATATTTCAACGATGACTGGTGCTGTGCCAGCAGAGTTTGGCTGAACATGAGGGCAAAAATGTTGAACTTTTTCCATTTTCCATTTTCTCAAATATATAGGTTTGATTTTATATAGTTTGTCTTTTAAATAATTAAAATAAAAATAAGTGTTGTAGTCAGCTTGGGCTCTGGGGACTTGTGATGAGCCTTTTCACAATCTTTTACTGAATGATTAAACCATAATTATTAGATCGATTGATTATGAAAATAATCATAATTGAAACCCTAATCTAGACAGTGCTGTGTTTGAAATCAGCAAGGAAGCATCAATGCTACTTGTCGTCAGTGAGCTCGGGTGATGTGACTTTTGAGCTCTCAGACAGTCAGCTTTGCTTTTCCATTTTCTGGGAAAACGGCCCTGCTGTTTGCTGCCTTGTTGTAGCCCCATTTATTTTTACTGCTTAATTACCATACTTATGTCTAGTAATTTGTATTTTTGCTGCTCGTCTGTTTTCTACACAATAATTAGGGCTGGGCGTTGATTTGAATATGCTGTCTGGGAGAGGTTCAGAGCTGCAGGAGGGGGTTAACTGAGTGACTAGTGTATGGATTAACCACACACACACACACACACACACACACACACAATCTTTGATTATGTGTGTGCATTTGCATCTTCACACGTGTGCACAATTTATAGAAAGCTACAGATTCAACACATGACAGTACAAACTGAAAATCTGCCTCTAATTCATTACAACACCACATGAAAAAAAGATATTGTAAAATGTTAATTTATTAGAAAGTGTGTGTGTGAGTGTGATTGTGTGTGTGTGTGTGATTGTGTGTGTGTGATTGTGTGCGTGTGTGTTCGTGTTCAAAGGAGAGAATATGAGTCACACCATTTTTGTGTGTTTAGGGGAAAGGGGTTGTGGGTCGGTTTTGGGATGTGCCGGTTCTGTTGCAACATCCCTCCCCATGGGACTGTGATTGTTGCCCACCGGTGTGTGTGTGTGTGTGTGTGTGTGTGTGTGTGTGTGTGTGTGTGTGTGTGTGTGTGTGTGTGTGTGTGTGTGTGTGACAGAGAGAGTGTGCTGGCGACAGTCGCCTGTCTGTCCTGGCTCACGTTCACCACATGGAGCTATTTACACACAAAGCCCCGCTGGACACACACACACTTCTGTCTTTGTCTCTCTCACTTTGTGTGTTCTCATGTTCTTCTTCTTTTTACTCTCAAGCACCTTCTCTTCTTTTTCTGTCTCTGCTCACCTTTCTCTCTCTCTCTCTCTCTTTGTGTCGGTGTGTTCGTGTGCGCTTTCAGGCTTTTGTGATTCTGTCCAGTGGTTCATTGTTTTCAGAAGGTGAAGCTGTGTTTGACTGGAAGCAGGTGGCAGGCATGGCTGTGTGTCTCTGTGTGTGTGCATACATGTAATCCCTGTTATCAATGCTATCTGCCAGAGGACAGGTGAGAGCAGAGAACACACGCATCTGCCTACTGTTATCGTTGCTGTCCTTTTCTCGGCCTCTTCATCATCCTCTTTTCTTTATTGTCCTCCAGTTTCTTCTTTCTTCTCCTTTCTCCTTTCTTCGTCAACAAACAACATAATCCTGATCTTTTATCAAAATGTATGAATCCTTTGTAAAAAAAAAAAAAAAAAGCATCTCTAAGAAAGATATTTGTCTGATTAATTTCATTAATATAGTCTAGTGGATATTAAATGTAGCCATTGAGTTTGAGGTTGGAAGAAATCTTTATGGAGTCATTTATAAAATTGTGAGTTTAATTGTGTGTTAAATTACTTGATTTATTTATTATTAATTACATATTGGACCATTTTCTCTACAATACAGAAATTACTACTTTACATTCAGATAAATAAGGAACAACATTGTTTCATCCTTTCATTTTTTTCCCTTGTTTCATTTTTACTTTTCAGTCTTTCATTATTCAAAATTTCTCCACTTTCAGTATAATTTCATACAAGAAAAAAATTTCATCATTCAAATGCAAAACCATGTATCATTTTACTTTCTCATCAATGTGAAATTAGTTGTAATGAGCCAAACTGAACAAAGGCACTGTCACATACAGTCATCTCAATTTTGTGTCCCTTTTGGCCACTATAAACAGATACACAGATAGATTGACTGTCCGCCAGTGAGAAGAGGGAAGCAGAGTAAAGTAACGGGGAAGTGGGTGGTCTGAGTCGTATATAATTGTGTGATCTGTGTGTCAAGACTGAACAGATAAGGTTGTCCAAATTGGGGTTGGGAAATGGCAATTATTTTACCAACTGTGAGAGAAATTTTAAGGACTTTCTTCCGGGGTGGTGACACTGATTGAAAAAGCAGATGGTTCTTTCTGTTTGACTGATGCCGCTGGCCAGGAGGATATTTGTGGAGCGTAGATTGATTCCTCGGCCACTAAAAAGCCAGTAAGTGAACTTAGGATAGTGAAGATTTTTCTGTCAAATGAAGATTCACATTTTGTGATAATAATGGAAAATTATTGCCACATTTATTAACCACATTAGTAAATGAAACAGTGAGATCTCTCTCCATGGACAGTCGAGTGGCCAGCTGTGTGGTCTGTTGTTATTAGGGGCTGAGGATCTGTCATTTGGTTTGTTAAACTTTGAGCTGAAGGAATTTATTGTCACATCTGGTGAAGTCATTTGTGACCTGGCTTAGAAGAGTCACTGTTGCTGCTGCGTCATGGCTATTTCATTTGCAAATTTAATGTACCAAAGTATCCAGCCTCTTGATAAAGACGCCGACCAAATAAAAACAATTTTTCTTTCTTTGCTCTCAGCTGCCTTTCCTCTGCAGTCGTGCGGTGCAGCTGGGATCTCTCTATGTCCGAGGACTGGGCCACCTGCTGGGTGCTAACTGCGCCAGTGGCTGCCCGCTGCCCAATGCTGCCTTCATGCCTTGGCACAGCTTCGACGGACGACTGTTTCAATCAAAGTACCTGCTGGCACATAGTGGGACAGAGAAAACTGTGCTGTTGGACAACGATGTGAGTGGAGACAGGAAAAGAAAAAGGGAATGTGTGTGTGTGTGTGTGTGTGTGTGTGTGTGTGTGTGTGTGTGTGTGTGTGTGTGTGTGGCAAAGATTTGAGGAGAGACGTTTTCTTTTATTACAAGTATTTTTATGTTTCTTGGTTTTATTTTTACTTTTTATTTTTACCATATATGACTAGCCTCATTTTGAGATGTGTCTTTGTTAATGCAGTGTGTGTGTTGTAATCTGAAGTGTGTTATTGTCTACCTCTCTCTCCAGCCGTCCTGCCTGTCCCTGTTTCTCCTCCTGAGAGAGAGACTCATAGAAACCTGCAGGAAGAGAGGCAGAGTCCTGCAGTGCAGACCCAGACCCAACGCACAAGAGCAAAGTCATAAAACCACACCAGGACCCGGGTACAGAGACAGACACACAGGTGAGACATCTGACTGACTGAATAACATATCTTGTTAGACATAGACGACCTTCCAAACACTACAGACACCTGCTCAGTGCAAAGGTTCACTTGTGACCAGTGTTGTTTTATGATTTTCAGCTCATGTCAGAGTGTGTCTGTGAAGATGTTGCTGTTTATATCTAAAACATTTAAAAAAAGGCAAAGACTTACCTACAGACTTATTCATATAAGATAATATACATATAAGAATAGTCACAATGCATGATACATGTTTGTCCTTTTTTTTTTTTTCTTCACACTTTCAAATTCATCTCTAACGACTTAAAACACAAAGTCATTTATGTTTAAATTACTAAAATGAGGAACTTTGGTTGTTTTAATTAACAACCTTAGATGTGTTGAGATGTTGTGAGTTTTAAAAGTAATTGAATGCCTTTCATGCTCTCTCCTTCCGCACTCTCACTCAACATTCACTCTGTCTGTGACTGTTGGTTCTATGTTGTTTTCGTGTGGCATAATTATGCAGCCAGGACTCTATGGAAAAAGACTTTTTGATCTTGAGACCATCCTGGTTAAATAAAGGTCAGCGAGAGAAAAACGTTTTGACCTGAATTAAGAAATGTTATGGTGTTTCTGGGGCGTCCTGGAGGCCTAGTGGTTAGATGCATACCATATAACCACAATGTCCTCTGTGCAAAGCTGATGGGGGACCTTTGTCACATGTCTTATCCCTCTTTCTCTTCCGGTGGTTCCTGTCTGGATCTATACTGTCAACTTTCCAATAAAGAAGTAAAATTGCCAAAAGACATGTTATAAAAGTGACATTATGATGACTGTATCATTGTGAAGGCTCCAGTAGTTTGGAGCTAGACTTTGTTTCTAATCATTGTCCAAAGTACACAGACATAAACTGGCCTCAAGTGATCTGAGTGGCAAGAACAAACTGTAGCTCATATGAAAAACAGTTTGGCTTCTGGAGCCAAACAGAGAAGCAGCATTTTAATCTGATAGTTGATCTGTGGTTGTAGTTCCCTGGTGCCCCACACAGAACCACATTACCCAGAGGGCCATGCTGTAATGAGGTCCATGTGTGCTGCGGCCTTAATGCATAACGCAGTGTGCATGCACGCACACAAATGCACACAAGTGCATGCTTGGGTCCGAGACTTGCTTTGTCAGTGCACTAGTAATAGTAGGTTTCTGTTTATAGGCTGGGAGAGCTCTATTTTAAGACACACAACAAGACTAACTGATTACAGGCTTCTCTCTCCTGTCTCTCCCCTCTCTCTGCTCCCCTTCCCCTCAGTTGTTCCCCTCCGTTTCACTCTGCATCCTTTCAACTTTCTCTCTTCTCTCCTCACTCTTTCTCTGCTTCTTTTTCTCATTTATTACCATTGTTCTCTTTCTGTTTCACCAGACATCTATCCAACATATTCACCCTCTTACACGCGCACTAGTTTGTTATGCCGAAGTGTTAATGCGGCCAGTCTTTATGATGGTTGTCGCTGTAATGTGCAGACTTAAAGCCAAATCAAGCTCCCTGTCAGTACAAGACTCGACTGTAATCTTAACGCTCCATCCTACTCAGTAGTCAATCGCAGAAGACGACTCAGCAGTAGCCTATGAAATTTGAACCCGTCGTTTCTATTCAACCCTGCGACTTATAAACCTTTTGCGACCGTTTCTCTGCGTGCCATGCTGGCGCAGAGTCTCCAATTTGCGCCGAACTGTCTGCTTTTTGCCCAAGTCAACCCCTGTGGGTCTCATGAGGATGTTTCTGGTTTTATAGATGGAAGGCTATACACTCTTTATACCTCAGTGTTTCATTTCTGCTAGACGCAGACACCAATCATTACTACAGAACTGTGGGGATATGAAGAGTGTGTGTGTGTGTGTGGGAGAGAGAGAGAGAGAGGGAGAGAATGTGTGTGCGTGAGAGTAGTGGTGGCGCTATGTGGTATCGTTGAGGGCCCGGTTTGGTTTTTGTTTGGAATCAGGCCTGATGTTTAGTCTCCTCAGCAAATATCTCCTCTGCCCGCCTGCCCTCGCAATTACACTCCAGCAGTGAATCCAGTATAGCCGCTCTACCACGTCTCTCCAGTCTATTTTTGGCCAAAAAAGACAAAAAGTAAATGAAAAACAACCTAATTTTCACATTTTACTCTGAGAGTAGTGATGAACTTTGAACTGTGAATTTTCAACAACACAAATTTAAATCTCCTCTGATGTAGAAATAATGTGTTTTCCATAATCTCTAATCTCCTTAAACTTATTTGTTTCCTCCTTTTGGTTTTACTCTGAATCTAAATCAGAGAAACTTTTCCAAAAGACCTAACAACCACTGAAAAAGACCTTTAAAAAGTTTTGGTACTTGTGGCCTGACTGACACATTGTTCACTTATGCGTGGCATGCTTTCATGTGCTTTTTTCTGCAGTTTCACACTCAAGCAGTGGATTGATGGTAGCAAGCTACAGCTCCCTTTTGGCAAGGGCTAAAGTTGGATTTGGTGTTTTATTTTGAGCACTTTGTAATTGGCTTAAAATCTGCCACATCTGTCAACGTTCCTTAAGTGAAAAGTATGTTAGAAGCTTTTCTGAAAGTGAGGATAGATTATAATGGTTGGTAAACAGGAGCAGGGAAACATTTAGCTTTTTCAGACAGTTAATCATTTTTATAATCCATAACAGAGCAAATGTTGCTAACTGCGAAGATCGAGAAATCTGCCATGGATGGAAAAATCACAAAAACCTATTTCAGATGATTTTTTTATTTGTTAGATGACAGTTGATAAGGAGCTCTGTAACCATTCATCTTAATTTCTTTCTCTAAATAATTCAGTTTCCAACTCTGGTGACAATGATGGCTACCAGGCACTGTATACACAATGTGAGAAACAACACTTAGAAACTGAAACTAGATTAAAGTTATCCTTAAAACGTCCCCAGTTCTGATCTGAAGTGTTTTTTTTTGTAACATTAACATATTTATTAACGATATTTATTGTTATTTATTAATATAGGGATCACTTACAGTGAACTTACGGTGAACTATCAACTGACACTGCGTAATATCAGCAATCCATTCCTCTTGATGGGATATTACATGTCTGACATTATCAACATAAATGATATTAATGATAATGATAAGAATATTCTTTTATTAAAGATTTTGAGAAAATGTTCCATTCTTAAAAGCTGTATCACACACAAACCATTTAAAATAATATGTTATGCCTCTTAAGTACAGTACACCTATGATCTTCCAAATAACTCCTACTTATTTCTTATTTCCTACATATAGAAATACATGTGGGCAAGGTTCTAGTGAATTATTTTTTAGAAAACCCTCATGTTTTAGGAGGTTGTTTTCAAACAATGCTTAGGTTTTAGAATGTTTTTAGAGGGCGTCTTAAACCAGTGTGTGATTAACTTCCATGCGCTCGTGGTCTGATTGTGGAAATTATTGGAAATACGTCACACAGTTAGGTAGTTGTCTACTTTTGAATTGTGCAAGTGTGGGTATTGGGATGAACCCTTACATTATTAAGGTTGCTAGAAACGTGACTCCAAATGAATACTCATACTGCACCTGCTTGATGTGTAAACAGGAAGCAGTTTGCCAACAGGTTTGTTTAATCAGAATTTATTACCAGTGGCCAATTTTAATAGCTGCACAGAAATACCTGACATCACAGCTTTCCAGTAGAGTCCAGTGAGGCAGTCACACAGAAAACACAAAAATACAGAATTATCTCATCTGAAATACCTGAAGATGTTTCAAATTTGGCAGAAAATTGTGTGTTCATTTTGGATTGCTTTGTTCAGAGTCTAAAGCTGATTGAGAAAATATGTTTTCAATGTCTTTGAGCGTTATAAAAGTATAGCTTTGTTTCTTATCTTCAGGTGGTGGTGAGGGCTGGAGGGAGAGAGGAGAGCTGACAGGAGGTCCTCGACATGGAGGGGGATGGAGGGAGAGAGGGGAGGAAAGAAGAGACCGTAGTGAAAATGACAACAGAGAGAGACAGTGGGAGAGAGGAGGACACAGAGGAGGGATGAGAGGAGGCCGATATTTCCATCCTCATTCTTATCCTGACTGCCACAGTGGAAGCCACCAGGACATGGGCCATCCTCCACAACAGTCCAGAGGTCGATCGTATCGCAGCAGAGGGAGATACCGACTGGCTCCCAGGTAACACCAGCATACCAATAAAATGTCACCGGAGTTTCTTCTTCTTCTCTAATGTGTCTTCTGTTCTTATCTGTTCTATAATATCGCGTTTCCTCCTCTCCTCTGCTCTCAGATGGTCTCAGCCTCCTGCACCAGGAACATAACTCGACCCTGAACAGAGGGGAGGAGGATTAGAGGGGAGGACTTGAGGAGTTAAGAGGATGGGAAAGTCGTGATGAAAGGAGAGAAGGAATCAAATTTCTCTGAACAAACTGATTAGCGAATTGCCCGTCAGGAATGTTTGTCTAAAGGATTCAGTAGGTAGAAAAAAATGGGGATCAAGAGGAGTCAGACTGAAGAGATTGGGAATACTTTTTGCCAATTTGAAGTGAAAAAAAAAAAAAAAGATCATGTTGATGTATTTTGTAAGTCAATCATGACTTATCTCAGGGAAATGCACCTGTCTTGCATTGACAGAAAATGAACAGCACAAAGGAGAAGTCAGCAAACAAACACAGAAATGAGCCACTTCAAACATGCACTGAGTGGATTAATGGTTAATCCTCAGTCTTGTTTTTACCTCTTATCTTTGACAATAAAAGGGCAAAGATCTTAAAAGCTGTGTGTATCCAGTGCCATAATCCTGTGAATGGTTTTAAGTAGAGAAGCAGTAATGCTGGTATCGAATATCCGCTGAAGTAGGA